AAAAGAAAAACTCTCGAATTTTCCAAACTCAGCCCGAACAGCATCTATTTCTTCTGGATCCCATCTCACTCGGGCATTCAAGGCAATGACACTGCCGATGAAATAGCCAAAAAAGCCTCTCTGTCAAACCCTGACAACCTTTTCACGATTCCACACACTGATTTTAGAGAGAAACACAAGAAACTTGCCACTGAAAATACTAACTCCATTCTAATTGCACAATCTCTAACTAAAGGTGAAAAATACTTCACAAAATACTTTACGCCTCAATCAAAGCCATGGTTTTCCGGCTTAAACTTACCGAGGGTAATCATCACCACCATAAATAGATGCCAATCGGACCACTATAGTCTAAATGCCTCTCTCAGCAAGATAAACCTTACCTCAGCTGACTGCTCGTGTGGCCATGACTCACAAGACTTAGATCACATACTTTGGCTCTGTCCTCTGTACAATATTCCCCGCTCAACCCTTCTTAAAAATCTACAACAAATGAAATTCTCCCCACCACTCACCTCCAACGTCTTTCTGTTAAACCCTTGCGTAAAAACCTGTAAAATCCTATACTCTTTTCTATGTGATTGTAAACTCTCATTGTAATTGCGTTGTAATGAACGAAATCACATAAACACGAAAAGGCAACTTGAGACATGCACAATCCTTCTGTATCAATTAATGTGTTCGTATTGTACTTAGCATAATAATTCTGTCGAATTAAATTGCCTCAATAAAAAAAAAAAAAAAAAGAGAGAGAAAAACCAAATAATGCCTGAGTACGATGTATGCGACGCAGTTGCCATCAACAGATTCTCTGCGATAACGTCGACTGCAGGGCTGAAGAGCTCGGCCGCTAGCTACATAATAACTGAAACTGACGCCAGAGGTGCTATTCTACTACTATGCAATTATATCTCCTTCATAAGGGTGCCTCTCCAATACAGACGTCAATCGCACGCAGCAAGCGTAAAACCAAGAAATTCTGAGCGCTGCCAACTTCGAAATTCAAAATGAATTAAAAAGACATAATTCAAACAACACGAGTTGTTGCATATAATCATTTTGTTATAACAATTCGTCAATCGGCTTCATGTATACATTGACAATTTTTTGAGGCTACGTACAAAAGGAATTATGTCTTTTTAATTCATTTTGAATTTCGAAGTTGGCAACACTCAGAATTTCTTGGTTTTACGACCCCCCTTACCCCAACCGGCAAAGTGTAAGACCCCGGTCCCATAGCTACGTATGAATGCGGACGGATACGGACGCGAATCGCAACTCTAGTAACATCACTAAAAATATCTAGTTCGATTATTTAGTACCAACACTACCGGTAGTGAGCAAAAGTAACTGTTATTTAAAACTGTAGCGCCGAACGTACCACATTTAATGTTCAAATGTCAGGTCTACAATTTTCTTTTCAAATTCTCATGAATATTGCTTATTGATGAGTATGCTAATGTAAAAAAAGCTTTTGGGATGATTAATATATATCATTTATATATATATTTTCTTCTTCTTTTCATATATTCAAGTACTTCCATAAAATTAAGGCCTAATTCCACTAATTGTAGTTGAAAGTCTATCAATTCTCTATCATTTGCCATCCTATAGACTGCAATAATGTAAAGGTTAGATAGGCGTTACATTAAATGTGGTACGTTCGGCGCTACAGTTTTAAACAACAGTTACTTTTGCTCACTACCGGTAGTGTTGATACTAAATAATCGAACTAGATATTTTTAGTGATGTTACTAGAGTTGCGATTCGCGTCCGTATCCGTCCGCATTCATACGTAGCTATGGGACCGGGGCCTAATGGACAGTGAAAAAAAAATACCATTCAAAATATCTCTAATCGAGAATAATTGGATTCAGAATATTACTGATGCGTTGAATATTTGTATTACACAGTAGTTGTACTGTAAATGATGAGATTAGCTCATATGATCGAAACTTATAATTTAGACTATATACTAATTAAAAAACAATTGACTCTAGATTCTGAACTTTCTCAGTTATAAATCGCTTTGCTTTTTGATTCTGGTCACTTACATCGCTGCTACCCTTGTCTTAATAATTCGCGAGCAAAATCGTCGTAACATAAAATACTTCTAACATATTTATTCATTTATTCTAACTTATTTATTCACTAAAACTACCAAAATTTTCATTGCAACTGTGCAATGAACGGAGATGCAAGAGGGTAGCGAAAACAATGAACTTATACAATTAGATAATTATACAGTCTTAGTAGCTCTTTACGTTCAATTGAGATACAATATTATTATACTGCGCAACTTGGAAAATTTCAATATTCGCGAATGGTCAAGCTCACAAGCGCCAAGAATGAAGCTAGTAATCTTCTCGCTATCAACAAAAGCTTTCTGCAAATATTGAGGGCAATGATTTCTTTTAATCTCCACTATTTCCATAATATTCTCATATTTCTCAAGCAGAATGTTCAACGCTGTCTGTCCATACTTATCTTGGATATTTATATCAGCACCATATTTTAACAGTATTTTGATAGTTTTGAGACTGCACATTTCGCTAAACTTCAGCGCGAAATGCAACGGCGTGTAACCAGGAAAATAAAGTGAATCCATGTCGACAGCTTGATTGACAATACAGGCATCGGCGTAGATTAATAATTGTAGCACTGTCTCCCAACAGTTCCCAATGCAGGCTGCATGTAGGTGCGTTATCCCGTCCAGATTGCACGGGTTTTGTGGGATGCGATGGTCGTAATGATCGATCAGATTTACCGTTAGGAATGGATTTTTTAACCGTCCGCTCAATAAATCCTGGTTGTAACTTCTTTCCACGATCTGGTGCACTAATGTCGAGCCCTGGTAGTTCTTCAGCGTGAAATCCGCGCCCACACTAAGCAGAAGTCTGTACGCGTTAATGTTGTTTTTCATATAAGCCACGTGAAACAACGTGAAGCCGATCGCCTGCACCCCCAAATCGCAAAAGTAGCGGTTGCATGCTATTCGTTAATTGAGGAGTTGCGGATTTTTCTCGACCAATTGCTGCATGACAGCGAGCTCTTGGTTCTTGACAGCCTCGTAAAGGCGAGCGAGTTCTCGGCACTCGCATTGCATCGAAGCGACTTTAATCTCTGGCTCCATATCGCACGCATGCCACTTGTCGACTGACTTCGTTCGGGCGAGAATTCGGAAATGTCTCTCTCTGCAGCCACTGCACCTTCTACTCCTTCTTCCGTCCACTAACATGGGCGTCGTTGGTCGGGCCTTAGCAGAAAATTTTAGACCCCTTTCTTTTATCTCTGACCACCCCGTTGCTGATCATCCATATAAATGGATAAATTGTATAAATGGTATAATATAATTTGTATTATCCATATAAATGATATAAACTCTTCTGGTGTTGCCATACACACTGTGATTCGCAATCCAGAAAGAGAAACTTCCTGGGATTCAAGAAGTGCCTTAAGAAATGCCTGGGTGAGAGGTCATAGATTTATTGAGGGGGGGGGGGGGCAGCTTGAGTTAAACAGTGGAAATTATGTTTTCTTTACTGTGATATCAAAATCGTTTTAATAAAGTTCGCATCATGAACATTTATCATTTTGAAGTATTCGGTAAATACTTTTATTTTATTCTTTTCAAGTTTCAAAATCTCATGTAAGGGCATCATAAAGTCTCTTGAACCATAACATCTTTTTTTTAATTTGCTTCTTTGAAAGTTAAAGTGAACAAAAATCATTTTTGAAGGACTCATTTTCTTTCTTTAGATCAGTACTCAGATTAAGTGATAAATTTATAAAAGTTGTCATAAAAATGGTAAAATTTAATATTTCGAAAAATCCTGCACCTAAACTAGAGTACAGATTTAAAGGATCAGTACTTCAGATTACCCCCCTTACCCTAACCTACAAAGTGTAATGGACAGTGAAAATAAAAAATACCATTCGAAATATCTCTAATTAAACATTCCAATAATGCTCATTTTTTTAATTGAACTCCTTCAGTTGTCTCAAAAAAATTAAAAACTATGATAATTTTTTCGTTTTTTGTAACTGCGATATCTTTAGTAATACTTAATATTTTTGCAAAGAAACAAGGCAAAAAATTGAACCCTTGCTCGTTTTAATTGCATCCCTCTTACTTTTTCAAAATTATTAATATATATGTCAAAAACAACAATCTAATTTTATTGTATGTTCTTTCCAAATAACCCAATAACCCAATAATCTATTTAAAACTACTAGGGGGGGGAGTCGCGATTCAATTCACGTTGGGGTACGTAGCCTCAAAAAATATGAAGCCGATTGACGAATTGTTATATGCTAAACAAAATGGTTATATGCAACAATTCGTCAATCAGCTTCATGTTTACATTTACAAATTTTGTGTCTACGTAAAGTGCGTTTTTTCCGCACGCTCGGGAAAAAACGTGCGTTGAAAATCGCACTTTCCACACGTCATATTAAAAAATACGGTACGGCACATGTTCGGGAAAAAGTTTCTCGTCTCGTGTATCTTTCTCGCTTTGCTCGGGCGTAATCGCTACAAAAATCTATTTTTCCGCACTTGTATCGTAATGTACTATTCTTGTCTTATGTACCTTTCTTCACTTGTATCGTAATGTACTAATTTGATCCATTTTCAATTAAATATTTTAATCACTTACATTGTATTTATATGATAAATGAATCTGAGAACATAAATGATTTTTTATTATTTTATTATATGTTGTAATTTGTTAGACAATGAATAAACTCATGCATGAAGAATTTATTTGTTAATGATAACGTAATAGTTGTCACTTATTCAAGCGTGAAGTGTCTGAATTAATAATTGAAAGCGGTATATTCCAATATTTATATACCATATTATAAGAATTAGTTAGTAATTACTATATTTCCAAAAACAGAATTTTCTTTCGTTCAAAATACACGCCTCTTATAAATCCCCATGTATAGAACTAACTGCGCACGGATAGCTGTCCAATAGTCTAGTCATGCGTCAGAATTCATGTCATTTTGGATGTGTCTCGGAATATAAAAATTATTGCTAATAAAAACTAACTAGACTGTATACTATAGTCAACGAAAATAAATGTTTATGGCATCTATATTTGTTGTATTAGTTGTGTGAAATTCTAAATAATATACTGACATTTGATATTAACCAAATATATTTAGCCTAAAAACTGTTCTATATAAGGTAATCAAATCAAACAATTCAATTAATAATAATCAAATTAATAGTATGAACAGTTTAAATTAAATATTACAATTTACCAAAAGAATTTTTTTAAAAGATTCTAAATATAGCAGTTTTGATAGCGGTTTCTTCATTTCTCAAATTTTATACAAAAATTAAATAAAATGATTTATTTAATGATTAGCTTTTTACCAAAAACTTACAAGTTAATTAAAAATTTTACAGTACAACATTTGAAATGAATCTACCTGCTCTATGTATTGCAACAAGAAGAATTTATACTTCTACTATAAACAATCAAGTTATAAGAAGATCTAGGCTAAGAGTTGTAGATAACAGCGAAATTGGAAGGAAGGCTATGCTTGAGGGAAAACCACCATATATATTTCACATTTACAATAAAGTAGGAGTTGGATATATTGGTAAATAAGACATTATTTTGCAGAAGTGTGATTTGTTTTACAAAAAATTCAAATTATCGTAGCAAGTAAATCTTTTGATGTAAAACCACATATTTTGAGGTTGCGCATGATTTTTACTAACAATTATTTTTTAAATATTTTTTAGTATATTTTATTTCATTTCTGTAATTAGGCTCATGCATTTTATTGGAAATTACAAAATATATCAGCTGTATCTGTTTGAAATTTGATTTGCAGGTGATAGGGTCTTGGTTGCTATAAAAGGAGAAAAGAAAAAAGGAATCATTGTCGGTTTGAAACAGTATCAAAAACCAAAAGTACCCAAATTTGATACAAATAACATAGTCCTTATAGATGACACTGGTAGTCCATTAGGTACACGCATTCATGTGCCTATTCCTCATATCCTAAGGACTATATTAAAAGAAAAGACACATTCAAAAGGTGCAGACTATACAAAATTGATTGCCATTGCTTCAAGATTTATATGAATCGTTATTAATTAATTTGTTAATTTAAGACTCAATCTGTACATTGAACATTATTTAATAAATATTTACTCTTTGTAATATCATTTTTTGTTATTATATTGAATTGTAATTAAAACTGTAACTCAGACTTTAAAACAAATATTTCATTAAACAAATTTTTCTGCAATGTTACCAAAAGTAAATGTTAATTAATCATTTAAATAGTTATACTTATTCCTTTCTGAATTTTGAATAGAAAGTATATTATATTATACAAGCGCTAGTAGTAATATTTTAGGTCGAAATTTTTATTTAAAAAATTTTTCTCGTAGATATAATGTATCAGTAGTGTTATTTTAAGGGTATCTATAGGAATTTATTATTAAACTATTTTGAATAATATTATAAAGATGGAAATCAACAAATTTATTTATTTTTTGAATAAATTTTTTCGAAGTTCTCAACATTTGCCTCAATTTAACCTGACCTTTATAGACGGTTAACATAACCTGAAAATAAGTAAAGGCCGGTCATATGGGTTATATAAAGCTCAGTTAACTTGGTACAACAAAGATAAAAGATCAATGAAAAGAGAAAGCAAGAAAGCACGTGAACAAGCGCGTGAGTAAGTAAGAGAAGAGTATACAGAAATCGGAAACTCGTGCTAGTTCTTTTACAAATGGCGACCTACGGCGAACCACGCTGACTTGTGTAACCGTGTCTGTGGTATTCTCAATTCGCCGACACCGAGTCCTCTTGCTGCTCGTCGTTGTGGAAGTGCTTCTGCCAATATTTACAAGCAACTATTGCATTTGTCCTCCTGGACGAGCACCCTAGGAGTGTCGTTACTCAGTAAAGACATTAATAGCGGATAATCATGGGCAATGTACAAGCAGCAACCGCACCGCCTCCGCCACCGATGGGTTTTCAACCACCTCCGCCAGCAAGTGTACCTAAGGAAAATGCTCTTGCTACTCCTGCTGAGTCTCAAGCTCTCGAGAACCCAGGAACTATGGAGGATCTTCACAAGAGATGTAAAGGTATATCGGCTTTCCCTTGACATTTTGCGCATTCTAGCCTGATCTCTTGTATTTCAGATAATTCTTAAGATTTTATCAATGAAAAATTGATAGATTTACTCAATTAGAACGCTGTATTTGTAAAACTCATATAAATTACTCAAATTCACTTATTACCTCAATAAATGATCATTTATTTGTCGGAAAGGATTGCGAATCATTCAATAGTACGCACTCATATATGTATATGAAATTATTATCTGCTTTCTTGTGAGTGCTTTACTTTCTTATGCAATGGCATTGCTTGATATAAATTTAATTGATTTCAATGATATACAGATTTTATGTTTTTAATTAATTTCATTTATAAGTAATTTCTTTAGATATTATGAAACCTAATAGACAAAATGGACATTTTACATTTCTCTTATCTGAAATGTTACAAATATTTGATATTGTAGATTATTGTGTGTTGTTTAATTGTTTCAGAAATATTTCCAGTTAACTTTGAAGGTGCTAAATTGATATTAAATAAAGGTCTCAGTAGTCACTTTCAAATTTCTCACACAATCAATATGAGTTCTGTCATGCCATCTGGCTATAGGTAAGATTTTTTTTTATAAAGGCTTATTGAATTAATAAAGTACATAATTAAATTAAGAAAAATTATTTCAGGTTTGGAGCTACATATGTGGGTACAAAACAAATATCCACTACAGAAACATTTCCAGTTCTTGTGGGAGATATTGATCCATCTGGAAATTTAAATGCCAATATTATTCATCAGTTTAGTAACAGAATTCGAGGAAAACTGGCTACTCAAGTACAAAGAAATAAATTTACTGCTGTACAAATGACAGGAGATTATCGTGGAGACACGCATTCATTGTCATTGACTTTGGGAAATCCTGATATTATTAATAACTCAGGTACAAAATATGATGTTTGAAAAATGTTTTACTTTTTGTCCTGACAGTATTAGTATTAACAAATATTTTTCATGATTTTCAGGTTTAGCAGTTTTTCATTACTTACAAAGCATCACACCAAAGTTAGCACTTGGAGGAGAACTAATTTATCAACAAGGACCAGGAGTTCCTGGAGGATATATTTCGATTATTTCTCTTGCTGGTCGTTATATTCATGGAGATTCGACTATAAGTGGAAGCTTAGGTAAATATTAAAATAAAACTGAATTATTTAAAAATGTTATTCAAATTATTGAAGTATTTGTTTATGTGTTTAACTCATATTGATACTCGTATTGCACAAGAATAATTATAAGATTATCATTTCGTAACTTTATATTAAGGTCTTGCTGGTTGTCATATATGCTTTCATCAAAAGGCTAGTCAACAAGTACAAGTTGGAGTTGAATTGGAAGTTAATAGTAGAATGCAAGAAGCTGTAGGTACTATTGCATACCAAGTGGATTTACCTAAAGCAGATTTGGTTTTCAAAGGTCAGCAATGTATAAAAATGTCAAATTATCGATTTTTTCGAATATTTAAATAACAGTCTCTGTTAATAGAACAGTTTAAAAATTTTTAAATTGATAATTATTGTGTAAGATACATATTTTCGTGTAGACTCAATGTAACACCTAATAATAGCACTAGAGATGAATTTTTGAAATTATCTAGTAAATTTCTAAACTAAAAATGTATAAAAAGTTTTTGACTAAAAGTGACAATTTTATTTGTTTTTTAAATATGTTAGTCACTTTACTGTCAAAGTATATTTTAAGAAAAGAAACTTAATTTTTAATTTTTTTGTTAATATTATTCGAATTTTCTTTGTTTAATGAGGAATCTGATTTTAAACATAGAAACTATTTATATTTTGAGTATTTAAATTTGATGCATTGCGAGTTTCAACAATTATAATATCTTACAGGGAGTGTGGATTCTAATTGGAACGTCGGTGCTGTTTTAGAAAAGAAACTCCAGCCACTACCTTTTACATTTGCATTGAGTGGCATGATTAATCACCCAAAAAATCAATTCAGACTAGGATGTGGACTAATCATCGGCTAAATTGTTTAAAATTTAATTAAAGTTGTTTTACAATAATCAATTTATAAAACTCCTTTAATATGTAAAACATGTAAAAATGAAACAACTATCAATCTATATAACAGATGACATCCTTGACTTACGTTTATAACTTTGAAAATACGCATCGATTGTTTTTAATTCAATTGCATTTTTTAACTTACACTTAAACTTTGCCATTAATATCATTCAAAAAGATAAAAGCTTATTATTGACCTTGTTTATTAGTACTGAATACATAATGCGTATGTTGATAGTGATTTGTGTCATAGATCCATAAATGAGTGTAAATAGTACATAGGGATTTAATTTTTTATAAATTTGTTTTTTACAACTTCACGCTCATGCAGTATTGTATGAATTGTTCATCATACTTAAAAATAAATTCTGCTGTTATTTAATTGATACGAGATGTTTTAATTCGAATAAACATGCTACATTTAAACTATTCTATTGTGTAATGTAAGTTACGTTACATCGATTTGTGCAAGGGAAAGGCGATATTAGGGAACTTTTTAGTGTGTCAAAAAACAATTATACCACACTGTATCGCAACAACTTTACACTTTAATTCGTACTTCACTCATTCACTAGTAAAATTATATTTTGAGGATTAGAGACTTGTATGTAAAAGTGACGTAGGTAGGTCGTTTGGAGAAAATATAAAATTCATTCTAAGTTAACTTGCTTCACTGTAGTTTTTTTTATTCATTAATCAAACAAAGTAATTATTATTTAGATATCTGAAATTTGCAAAAATTTAAAAGAATTAAAATTTTATTGGATTATTTTACAGAAAATTAAAAAATTTAACTGTAAAAATAAATCATGATATTACGTATGAAGGTGGCTTTGTTATTGCGACCGAGAAGCATTTTCCAATAGCAATGGATTGATCGTTATTAAATGATTGTTGTTCATAGTGAATTAAAAAACTGAAGTTTAACACTTCCTTGAGGAAATTCAGATTTTTTGTCGACATCTGATTCATGAATTTGTACAAGTCTGTGAATTAAATAAAACAGTTGATTAATTGTTAACTGAAATCTACAAATCGTTATCCCATAGTTGGTCATATATGAGAAATGCACTTGAATTTGTAAAAATCTGCTGGCTTATATGCGCAGTACATCAACAATAGCTGTGTGAAAAAGCTCCGAGTACGCATACAACAGTCCGAAGCTAAAACGATTTCCCCACTCGCGTATTACGGGCGAGTTACGAGCAGTGTACTTGCGGTATGAGCGCTCGCGCTCCCCGCTCTTTTTTGCGCGTAATCGATGACCCTCGCGAGAATTGCAGCTCGCATAACCGAGACTTTAGCGGCCGATGAGGCCCTCTAGCTCTCTTTTTATACTCGCTCGTACCAACGCTTGCGCTCTCGCGATTCACAGTCCATAGAGCATCTGGCCTTTTTGCCGCTTGCTTAGATCGGCAACTTGCAGTGCTTCGGAGCTATACTTAAAAGGAAGTTTCAGTGCGGAACATCAATCATACCAGCCAAACCGCTGATGCTAAGCAGTTTTTTTCCTTCACATATCATACGTTAGCAAATCCTAATCGAAGTCAACCTATTAGTCTGGTTGCTTTCTAAGATTAACATGTGCTTTTGGTTGATTTTCAATACTTTTCTTTCGAGTGCACTAAGATAATTTGATTTACGTTGGTCGCGTTCGGGCAGAAAACAAATTCGATCGTCCGGAAAAGCAATGAGAAAAAGAAATAGCACTGACAACAATGAAGACATCGTAAGCCTCCAATCGAAAAAATTTGGTGAGTAGTGCAAACAAATTTTTCTTCATTCCATTGGCTATTCGACTGAACTCATTTTCAAGTTAAGAAGCAACGCGTTTAAAAATCTTTGAAAAGTATTCGTGTCATAATTCATGATTGCAAAAATAAAAAAAAAACAATTTTTGATCACCGAATATTGAGTAGAAGGATAGGAGTAATGGGGGTTCGGAGGATGCTAGTGTAGTGCAGTAAATAAAGAAAATTATCAGCCGTACTATGGTTTTAGCAAAAATTAGAATAAAAAGAACGATGAAATTATTTTTTATTATAATTTGTCGTCACAAACACGGCATTTTGCATACGAAAATAAATGAAATTGGGGATTTGAGCATTCGCAATTGTAGGTTTACAATGAAAACAATTGATAGCTTTATTAGCACTCTGCCGATGTGGAAGACTTCGGTGAGGTTTTGTACAGGTGTAATATTGAGAGAAGTTCGTAAGAGTATTGGCGAAGGCACACTTGTAAAAGTCAGCTGACAGACGAATGAATGGATGAGCAATGCGTCGCACGTGCGCTTAGCTGCACATCTCCGCCGATTGTTTTTAGGCAGCTCATAACATTCTACTTGGCGCATGCGATCTCTGATTCATTGAGAGGACTTTGCGTGTACGACGAGTTTGGAAAAAAGAAACGACTATAAGGCGAGGAGCTAGAAGACTGCGGAGCAGCGCGTGACGCACTTTTGTTATTTATTTTGAGTCTCCGCACGATGAAAGTGCCGCTCTCCTGAGCCAAGGCACTTGCATAGAACATACGAGCTAATTATTCGATAGTTTACTTTGAGACAGGATGTTTTGACTTTTACCTCGGCCAGATCCGAGCGCAATCGCGCGGGCAGCCAGCAAGCCTTTCGTTTCTCGAATCTCCTTTTTTATTCGTAGAAATGCACGTTCGATACTTCTACTTGCAATATCGTTTCCTCCCTTGTAAACTGATAGGAGCAAAGCTTTCCATGGTGCCATTTTCGATTGGCCATTTACCCGTGGTATTTCATACTTGATTTCAATTTTGCACCGTATACTCGGAAGATTGAAATGGAAACAACCGAGAATTGGCATTTCGTGCACAGTACGTTCGTTTGGAAGAAAACCTTTAGCAATTACCGACTTGTGTACCGAGACCGGTGAAAGTATTGACTTTTCGAGATAAATCCTAATCATATTTGATAAAGCATGTAACGTGTTAAAATAATTTATGTTCAAGTTTAACACTCTTTGTGTCTGAGTTGTATAATGATAAGCTAATCGCAATAACCACGCTAATACTTACACTTTATCGGATCGTGTCATTTATACAATCATGATGCACGTGCTATTGATTTTCAAGTAAAACCTTATTATTTACAATGAACGTATTACGACTTTTCAAATAATCAGATGTATGTGTTATATAACGCTGTTATCTGCTAATTGAACGTGTTTTTCAAAAATCAATCAAAAATTCAGTTCATTTGTTGAATTGCGAACAACTTAAAATAACCATCGCAGCAGATGTACATCTCAGCGATGCGTGGAAAAATGAGATTTGCTAACTCCGACTAGTAAACTAAAAAATTCTCAAGTCGGACGTCTGAAAAGTCAGAGATCACGCAAACCGGAGCATGCATGAAGTCATCGTTCTCGCTTCGTGCGGTGCTCGCAGTTTTCTTAAACATATTTTTGTCGTGCCTTTTCCTCGACGTTCAAAGTATGCCTATATCTTCGTATATCCAATATTGACTTTTATAGCATTTTGCTGGGTCCATGCTGTGCCCACTATTGCGACCGGATCGTAATTACATCGTGAGTCACTCGAAAAAATGGAACTCTCCAGTATTACAATGTTTATTACTGGCAACTGGAGTAACAATGCTTGCGCGAATTCATCAATGGAAAGGACCAAATAACAATTATGTAACAATACGCTATATGAGTAAACAATCATTAATTGCTTTGATTGATCGTCACAAACAAGCTTTTTCATAAAAGATACTACAGTCGTCACTTTCAGTATTCGTACGTTGGATGCGAAGCCGAGGGATCACTAAAAAAATACAAGGCTACCACACAAATTTGATACATATTGATCTCTATAAAACCGCTTCCAGTATGACAAACGGTTTGGAGGAAATGAGTCGATTCACGTCCTTACTATAAAAGACTCCTTTGTTCATTTATACGATTAATTTTCGTCAACGTGCCCACTCCTTACTGTTTTAAGTCTTACCTATATACATTTTCTAAAGGCAGCTTTGAATCTATACTGAATAATAACATTTACTAGTACGGCATTGGTTATCTCCTTTATTTGGGCGACGAGAAACTTTGTTGACGCATTATATATGTGTACAGCTGAACAATTGAACAAGTGAGAATCTTTTCTTATTAAAAAATTGATCAAAAGAGTGAATAAAGTAACCAAACGAATGCGGAAAATGACGTTCAGATAAATTCATAGATCTGTCGTTGATAATGAGAGTACCGCGTTCATTCGATTACCGATGAATCGTTGAAAAATAGCTTCTCTCAAAGAGCACGTTAACAAGAGCGATGAGAATAGGCCAAAGCCGCTGCGAATGCAAGAAGGTGGAGAAAAGATTCTTAAAAATGGCGCTGTGCGGCGAATAATAGCACAGACGAGTATCATTATCCTCCTCGTGTAGCGAATGCTTCGTCCGATCTCAATTGAGAGACACCTCTATCATTGAAATAGCTCCGCCTTCCGCGACATCCACTGGACATTTTGTTGAGTTCAAGCGTTGGAACAATTGAAAGCATGGCGAATGCGATGTGCTTGACGAATCAACGAACGAAGCAATGGCGCAAACAACTTGTCAAATAACTTGGTATAAAGTTTGTAAACGGCCAAGTCAAGTGTCAGTATATTATCTTCTCTTATCTTCGAGGACATTGAAATTGTGGTTTTCTAGTTGGACGTTTGCACCCCGTTTCACGGCCTATAACTACGGTGGCACCATCGTTCAAGCCTGAGCCTCCGACTTTTTTACCGCTTTTCTCACAGATTAGGCACTCGTTATCTCGCGCGTTTTTCCCCTTTTCGAAAGAGATATCGAGGGCGCATCGATAAGCACGGAGAGTTCTTTTTCTTTATACCAATTAATGTCTCCGACTCGCTCGTAAAAGCTTGCGGTAACCGCTCACCCTCCGAGATATTTACGATGAGCTTTTTATACGGTCTCCAACGTTGATAAGACATTTAATGGAATAGAAATGTTAAGAGAAGAAAACTGGCTGGTCTTTGCGTGACGATCATTCGAAGAAATATTAAGAGTAGGTGGACAAGGTAGAAAAATTGTAATTTCGAAGCCTGCTCGCGAATAAGCAGGCTGTCACGTGTGCGGCAACAAAATGTAACAACTTGCGCGCGGTGTGCAACTGCACAAAAGCCGGCACGCGCGCGTTATTATCCGTAGCGCTGAAGTTCATGGCGTCACGGACGGAGGCGAGAGCGAGAGTTGGTCATTTTGTTTTGCTTCGTTTTTTTTACGGCGCTCTGCCCTGGCTCGCCATTGTTTTTCCAAGTTTCCTGAAACAATCGACTCGACGGAGCGCGCTCATTTCCTCGGAGAAAATCTCGCGACTCCGTGTCCGTATTGTTGCGCTGCTCGCGCCAACAGCAGCGTTTCGCATTGGCTCTTAGCTTGCATCGATCCGGCGTCATTGAGCTCGGTCTACGTCGAGCGAAAGATGACAAGGAAAGCTCGCGACCGAAAGTGCAGCTGCGCGCTTGTCTCTCGGTTGGAATTGGAATTTTCAATTATGTCACTAGGTCACACGATATTCCGCGATAACCAAGTAGCTACGTCATATGCGCGCGCGCGCGTTATATGCCGTAACGCGCGCGGACACGCCGAGTGGAGGCTGCACTGAGCACGTAGCATATTGGTCCCGCATACGACGTCGTAAATGTCACTTGTTGCCCAACGCCATTGTTAGAGCTGTGCCAACTTGCACTATTTTTTGTCGCACTAACGTTTCGCCAGCTTGCACATTTCGAAAACTTGCGAGCAATGCCGGGCGTAAATAGCGCGCCCATCGGATGGCTCGTTGCGTCCTGGATTTGAACGCAGCGCGCTGTAAACGAACGGCAAGGAGCGACGGCTGGTCTTGTAGCGGAGAGCTGCGAAAGCAAACTGAGCCGCAGAGGCAGCTCCTGCCTGTCGACTGATTTCACCAAATACCCAGTGATAATGCATGCGCATGTATACATATATACGTAAGCGACAACGGCGACGGCCACGTGAGCGCGCCGCTGATAATCTCCTTGTGTACACTACAATGCCTTCTTTCCCAAGGCAATTTTTCGCCGCGTACCCGTGTATGCGAATGCAAGTGGCCGAAACCGGAAACTTGGCGACATTTCGCCCTTCGCAATAGAAAAACGTTGTTCAACGAAGAACGTTTGCCTTGATTTGAGGAAAAAAACTTGTTGACTGAGTTGAGAGCATGAGAGAGAGAGAGAGAGAGAGAGAGAGAGAGAGAGAGAGAGAGGCTATGAGTTCGCGAAGTGTGCAATCCAATGAGCGTGCTGCGAGTTTCAGAGTTTCATTAATGGAGTGCTTGTGTGCGCAAGTACACGGTGCTTACGCGTGTGGGTATATGGAAGTGTAGTATGGGCTTATCGGTCGAGATAAACTGAGAGCTTCTGATACCTGACTCCTTATAGTTTCGAATGCATCGTACGCACGTGGTTACGGGATATCGGATTACTACGCACTCGCGGACGTATTACGTGCCGCGTCCATTGAGAACTCGAGGATTGATTTCGTCGGCTCGCCAGCTCAACGCGACCCATTCAGTTCCGGCCGGCTCAATCTATTTCAACGCTGAGCCCGAGAGTTTTTCCATCGGCACAACTGGCAATGACGAGGAGCTACGCGGCGGAGCGAACGGGAATGCGCGCAGAACGGAAATCGAACGTGGGTTCCGAGAGAAGCGGTCAGACGAGAACGATATCAAGTGGGAGGAGTCTGTTT